TTTCTCAGGTGTTCAAATACTTATGTTCAGCAGTGCAAGACAAATAAATTCTTTAAAAATCATACAATGTGATTTCCTGAATTTTTTTTTTAATTCTGTCTCTCAGAGTGGGAATGCACCTACAATGTGAATTTCAGACCCCTCCATGATTTCTAAGTGGGAGAACTTGCAAAATCGCAGGGTGTTCAAATACTTCTGTTCCTCACTGTATTAAAGAGACAATTTGTGATTTTGTGAAAATGGCCAATAGCCCAGATTTTCACATTTCCCCCAGCTCACCTGGTATTTAAATTTCCAGCAACGGTTGTTGCCCTCTTTTTATCTGCTTCTTTTCTATGACTTGTGTAGGTGACTCTGGTGAGACCTCCTCGATGAGCCTACAGGAGTCGATGCCCGTGCTCCCGATGTCCGAGGGCGAGGAGCTTATGCCCTGTATCCCAGAGAGTCTCGGCTCAGACCTTCTGATGGACATGGAGACTGTTCTGTCTGGGTCACACATGGACAGAGACACCCTGCTCACCTGGCTATAGACGTGCTCACCCGCTGCTGAAATATGGCTTGACATCAAATCATCATACTATGACTGAGAATTCTGGAGGATGTTCAGCTTCAGAGGTGGTACAGAACAACATTATGAGAGAACATGCTACTGTTGTGTGGCCAATACCTAACACTACTCACACCCTGAGGAATGAAAACACCTGACCCTCACAGAAGGTGGTAAGCTGCTGGTATTCTCCTCTTTTTGGGCCTAGTTTTACAGAAATGCATGACAGAGCATCAGTATTTTTACAGCACTCTTTTCTTTTTTAGTCAGCTCCTCAGAGGTGCTCCCGACGTCACTGGTAAAGTGAGTCACAGCTAATTTTAGAGCACAGCTTTCTTTTATTATCCCCACTTGGGTAACACTGTTCACAGGAGACTTTTACAGAGTCAAGTCAGTGAAATCTGTGTGTAGCAGTTACATAAACACTAAAAAAAAGAAATGTGTTTGGTTTCGTGATCAATGTTAAAATAACATAGAAGTTGTACAAAAGATATTTAACAGTACACATTGCCCTTGGTTACTTCACATAGCCTGTGGGATAGAAGAGCAACATCTACTGTGGTGCTACTACCTCTAAGCAGCATGTTGTTTGTTATTTTAACGCATGTTCATGTTTCTAACAAGTGTCAGGACTGAGAGCAAGAGATGGATCAACTAATATATCTGGATTAACACTTCATTGGTTCCTTAAAACCAAAAACCACCTGTCAAAGCTCACACTATGCTGTGGGAGAGGATGCACCCTTGTGGTGAACCAGTAGAAGATTAAGAATATTAAGAATTTTCTCTCAAACTTGCCAGTTAAAATGCAAAAAACAAAACAAAGCGAAACAAAAAACTCATACAAAATGTCTCTGTGGAAAACTGTGGTGCTGCACAAACAAAGATAGTAACACTTTCAAGGATAAGTTTTATCTTCTTTCCAATAGAACAAATCTTTCAGACAAATCAAAACCTGTTAAAAGCTTTTAGAGAAATAAAGGCTACAGAATAGTGCCACCATGTCTTAGCTAAAGCTACAACAGGACCCCCTTTACACTGAGTAGCAATGCAGTAAATGAACGCATGGCCAGTATAATGCAATCCAGCACAATACTGGGTTTCCTCTAGGAAACCCTTATCCTGACACATCTGGGCTTGTGATCACCTTGGTTAGTAGACAAATGCGTAAAATACAGCCCCACTAAATACATGGCTTTTGTTGTGTAAAATAGCACATCAGTTCTTTTTCTTTTTTGATTTTATCTTATTAAAGTGTGTTTATATTTTATAACGGTAACCCGCACCTACTTTAAAACACTACAGGAACCACCTTGCTATAAAATCACCTTTTTAATGTTACCATTACTGTTAATTCTGTTTCACCTTTTGTTGTTGTAATGAATTGCATTTTACTGTAGAATGTTCCAGTCATTTTCTCCACTACAACATTGAATATAAGCTTCACAAAAGTATTTGTTTTTAAATTATTTTGGGGCTTTTCATAGCCTTTATTCTGTACTAGATTACAGAGAGCCAGACAGGAATTTCTGCCATCAAGGCCTCGGTGGGTTTCTTACATATATGAAAAATATTCGCCAGTACCCTACAAACTTGGAAATGAAAAAATGTTATACCTTTCTTCATTTTACCCACATTTGACTTGATACATTCCTTCCCTTCTTTTATTCACATTTTAATTCATTCATTCAGTGCTGATCAGGCGTGTTCCATCAATCAGTTCATTTTGTCCTTTGTCACTCCACCCAATCTAAGGTGGTATCTATAGTTGGAAAACAAGCAGGGCAGCATCACTCAAGGACCGGGACTGGCCACCACTGAATTAGCAGGCTCTCGAAACTTATGAGTTATATCAATCACTCAAAGTGAATATCATAGCTGCATGATTTTTTTAATTCTTCCATTATTGTGATGATGCAAATGAATTGTAGATTGATTTGAATAACACTGTAATCCCACACAATGATAATGTTACACTGATAAAAAAACAACATGCTTGATGCAGTGAATTGTTTCTTACTTTGAGAACACGCACAGTGAGGTGCAGACCAGTATAAGTAATAGACATAATGCTTTTGTACACACTGAAGTGCACATAACCCTAACACCTAACCCAAGCACACGATACTATTTGTCCATTTATCCATTCACACACAATTATTCAGACACCAATGGCAGTGGCCATCCAGGGCAGCTTGGGGTTTCATTATCTGCCCAAGGATGCTTTGACATGTGCACTGAAGAAACTGGGGATCGAACTGCTAATCTTACAGTTGGGGAACAAAAATTACAATATGTCGCACAAATTTTCGTCCATTTCTCCAAATATTTTCAGCGGCCTTGGCTGTCTGGGATTTCCATATATACTGGTCAGTCATGACTGATAAAATACTACAGATTGTTTTGTTTTTTTTAACTGCCTTTAATATGTGGCTGTTTATGATTGCCACAGCACAATTAGCCATCTCATTAGGTATGGAAATACAGTGTATAACCCACATAATGTGATTTAGCACAGATTTTTACGCTGTAATCCCTTCCTGATACAACCTTCCCATTTTATTCGAGCATGGGACTTGCACTAGTGCCCTGGGTTGCTCAAACCTAGTGGCTGGGTGTGATGCATTGCCTGGGATGCAAACCCCAGCCTTCTGGGGCACTGTCTCTGGACCACCAGTAAATCACCATAGATAACATATATATAAAAAACCATATTATCACTAACCTTTTCTTAAAAAAATACACTTTACAAAATACCATTTGTTGAAATAAAACTTGCAAGAGAAATATAAATGACCTTAAGTGTAACATGATGTCATCTTTTCTGAATATCCTCTGGTTAACACAACCTCTTATTTTAATCCAGTAATGGGTTTTCAATACAAACCTTATTAAAATACAGTATGCTGAAATCCTTTCCATTTCTAATATTTATGAATAACCCTAACCAATTTCATTGTCAGTCTACAGTTATGAAATTCATTAGCATATAGAAAAAGTCTGCTGTGGTAATGAACTTTACCACAAAAGCAAGTTTCAAGATGCTCCTAATAGATTTTGTATTCTCTGAACATGTATGGATTAGATTCCTGAAACTGTTGAAATGTGCATTCGAGTGTCTAAAGTAGAGCAGCGGGGTGTCAGTGATGGAAAATGTATGTGGATTTATGTAAATGGACTAAAACATGCAAAAATCACAGGTATAATCCTTTAGAACATGTGCCATTGAGATGTTAGTTTGCTACTACTCTGTAGAGTGACACATTTCCTCTGTCCTTGGCTCATGTTTTCCTCTCTTAAAGGGGTTTTTAGGTGGGAATGAGGAAAATATTGTGCATCAAAAACTGGCTTCAGACCCATTTGGTGAGTTATGACATAAGTCAAGGACCCAGTTGTGTTTCCTCAGAAAAGCAACTTACTAACTGCGGACTGTGTTTCCTTATGTTTTGTTCTAACTGCAAGCGCTGTCTGACGCTGTAATACAGAAGACAATCGTCAATATGGGAAGCTCAGTAATTCTCCTCTAGTTAACTATATATTAAGTATATATTCTGTTTCTCTCTGCTGGGTTGTTTCTGCAGTGTGTTTGTATTTTATTGGAATTTGAAGTTGCTAATTATTGGTGAGAGTATTTCTTCTAACCAGCTTCCTTTTTATATAAACAGTATATAGAGGCAAATACTTTATTCACAACATCCCCAAATAAAGAGCCAACTCACTTTTTTATAATCCATTCTAATTTAAAGTACTGTGGGCTCATACACATAATGTACACTCTACCTAGCCAGTTATTTACCTTAGTATGCATGACACTCTATGTATGTTGCATATAATGATTTATTATTCTATTTACAGAGTTTTAAGGCAATCATATGTGTTTTGTACCTTTTTATGCATGTGATTTATATAAATATGTTTCTTCTTACTTTCACTATAATCATTTTTAAAGGAGTTTCTGTTTAATAAAGTTTTAAATGCATCTGACAAGGAGTTATTTGTAATGACATTTTAGTGTGGATTGTCCATGGGATGGTTGTAGAACTGCCCCTTGATATATGCAATTAGTCCAGGAGTGGCCAAACATTTGCATAAAACTATACATCTTGGATCACTTGAAAAATGCTTTTAAAAGTTACAACTTTAAGTCACTTGATAAATGTATCTATCAAAGACCTTTTTTTACTCATAATTTGGTAGAACCTATGCAGCACTTTAGACTGTAGGGATTTCTATGATATGGGTCTCAGTAACAGTAAAGTTGGTCTTTATAATTAATTAAACTCTATCCTAAAAACTGAGTATTTAAGTGTTCAGTGATGGAAAAGTATTAAAATTTTCACAAAATTTACCCTTGAATTTTACTAACTTTACCTTGAAAGGGTAACATTTGAAAAAGTTATAGGTACTTTACAAAAAGAGACTAACAAATGAGGATATGCCCTGTCACAGTAGGGGGAGTGGTTATGATACAGGCCACTAGGGAAACCCAGTGCAATATAACTAACTACTGCAAAGGTTAATTTCATTTGAACCATCTAATCATCTGACTTGACTTCAGTGAGGCTTTTATGTAAGTAACTTGTTTGATGAGATTGTTCCCTATGTCAGTATTTGAATTGTAACAATCTTAGATAACCAAGTGAGGTTTTTACTTTTGACAGATTACTGTATGTAGACTATATTAGCCTATATAAGCCTATGGGTTTTGCTTCATTTCTAATATATTGCTATATATGTGTGTCTTTACATTATATTGTCATAAGACTAGAATTTAGTATCTCTTCACATTTGTAGGTTTTAGGAAAATGTGTTAAAGACACCGCTTTCTACAGGATGTTTGACTGTGTCATGTGGTTTGACGCAACAAATGAATGTTTTAATTAATTTGTATTAATATAAAGAGTGCTTTACAAAATGTGGGCTATGGGTTGGACAGGTCAAGAATAAAATCATTTTAGCGGAGTTATATCTAAATGTCAGTTTAAGTGTCAGTGTTGGTCAACATTTCCCATATAGAGTAACCTGTTTTACAACACTTGCATTAAAGTATTTTTTTCTTCCGGTAAGTAGACCTAGTTAATACCACAAGCATTCGTGTCGGTTACATATGTATGTTGTGTAATTTAAATATAGTAGCAGTTTTAGCCCTGGGAGAAATCTGCCAGACTCCTAGACTAGGGACGGAGAATACCCGAGGGTTTTTCTAACCTAGTTTTGTATTGTTCTATTTTGTTTTCCCTTCCACGTTAACCGGAAACGGCAAAGGCGGCGGCGTTTGTGTGTCATTTCAGGGACTTTCCGCTCGAGTCTGCTGAAATACCAAAGGGTGAGTCTGGCATACCAGTGGAAAGCAAAAACATGATTTCTGTCTTGTTTTATGTTTTGTCACCGTCAGATTTTCTTTTCTTTTCTGTGCTGCTGCGTAGATTGAGTAGGTCTGCAGAATAAAGTTTGACTGTCATTATCGTAAACAGACATTAGCATTAGCATGACAATGTCCGCTAATCTGATCTAGATGGTTTCTGTTGGGCGTTACATGTCTTATTCGGTAACTGCAAGTTATATTAAGTATGCATTAATTAATGCTGACTGCCGCTAACATGCTATAGAACATAGCTAACGTTAGCTATAAAAGCTAAGGAGAACCATGACGACAGATGTAAAAGGAAGTGTCTGGTCTAGGGTTGAACCTAAGGAAAGTACCTAGCTACACTTTATGGGAAAAATAACTAATTTTGGACAAATATTGCTGTCTTTATTTGACTATTTAACAGCTCATTTGAAAAGATGACTAGAGCTGTACCATCTTTATTGCAGAAAAAATTAGCCGAATAATCCATTAGTTATATACGCCGCTACCTGTTTTCCACATAATGAATGTTGTATTATGGGAATTGTAGTAGCTAGTGGTTTTACCAATATTAAGGAGTTAGTGTCAGATTATGTTGTCCTCTACTGCTTTGATTTTGACCGCTCGTTTTAAAATGGGTCTTCCGTGACATCATAAGCTTCATCAGTACAATACTTAATCAGAGTACCTGTTTAACAAAATAATCATTTAATCAATTTGTTAAGCAAAAATGGCCAAACTTTCTTGACTTCTTGTTTTTTTTTATGTCAGAATTTGCTGCTTCTATCTTTTTGTTATAATTGTAAGTTGAGTTAATTAGTTAAAAATAAAGTTATATAGATTTGAACACTGCTAATGGTAATGATGAATCAGCCAAAGATAATACCTCTGCATGAATACAATTAATCTTTTTCTTTGTCTATTTTTCTTCATTCCTACAGGTGCTGTGAGCACAAAGTGGCACTCCCTTACCAAAGGAGGATAACATTTTTCTTATTTGGTTTTTACTTTTCAGTTATGGAGCCTTAAACACCTACAAAAGGGATGTCCGAAATGGGGGGAGGGGTTTAAGATCACATATCCCTTGGTCTGTGTGTGTGTGTGCGTGTGCTTGAGACCTTTACTTTATGATGTTTATACACATAATCACACACTATGTTTAAGTTTGACTGGGTAGATAATGTTTTAGACATGTCTGTGCCAAGCATACAAGATACTAACATGCACACTGGTATTGGGTGATATGACCACAATGTGAAATTGTGGTTAGTGATTTGAGGATGCATTTTAATTACTTTTTAAAGTAGTCTAGCCATTTTTACGTCACAGGGTGTGTTTTCTTTGCCATGCATCCGCTGGGACTGTAATTATTTCTTGGAAAAGAAATAATGAAGTTTGAGCAGTTAAATGATAGGTAGTACTCCACGAGGTGCAGGGAGTATGTATCCTGGTGTAACATTTGTATGTAGTGAATAGGGTGTCTGAGGAAGAGGAAATGACAGATGTATCCGTTGCTGAGTGATACTTGTGTTTTTTTCTGTTTCTTTTTTCTGTTTCTCCCCCATAAGAGTTCTTTAGTTTCATGCTTAGGCAGCATTCCTTTCATTTCTGCTGTTTCAACCTGAGTGAAACCTTTCACTTCTTCTGCCCCCTTGTCTATTTTACAAATCTCTGTTTCAGTGTGACTGTGTGTCTGTGTGAGAGAGCGAGACCTCGGGTTTTTTCAAACCCCTCTCCCTTTGGAGGACATCTCTTTTGCCTTAAATCCACTATACATAAATATAATCATGGATACTCTTCTTCAGCTCAAAAACAACCAGTTCTTGTTGGGGTTGTGTCGTAATGGGCCCCCTCCTGAGCTGCAGTATGATAACTCCTCAGGTACCAGTCTCTTTTATTCTCTTACTTTATCAGATATTTATCTATTTGTAGTTGTTTTTGTGTATAATTCACTCAAGTAAATGTGTCAACATTATTTCAATTCTATCTGCAGAGCTCTTCCGCATCTCTACCTTTGCTCGTTTCCCAGCGTCAGGAATCACAGAGCGAAGTCTGGCAAGGGCAGGTTGGTTCTATACTGGCGTGGGCGACCGTGTGCAGTGTTTCAGGTGTAACGTGACGGTAGAGGGCTGGCAGCCCGGAGACTGTCCGACAGAGAAGCACAGACAGCTCTCTCCATCCTGCTCTTTCATCCAGAGCCTCCCATCTACAGCCAACCTGCTTTCCTCCTCTCACTCTGCCTTCTCCCCTCTCCGTGTTGCCCCAGCCATGCCAGTAAGACCTAAGGAAGTTTCTTACAAAATGGGAGGCATACTTTTTAGAAGAATGTTCACCTTTTATCTTGGAAAATCACAGCTGAAACAAAGCAAATGAGATAGTTGTGTTTTTGAGTCAGAGGGCAAATATATTTTATAAACAAGTAAACTCCATAATGTTTTGGTGTAAAATTCTTTGAACTTTGTAGTTACTGTTAGTAATTTGCTTCACGAGTATATATCTTAATATTTTGCTTCTATTTTTTTTTTTCTTCCAGCTTTCTGGTCCAGGCCAAGCTGAAGAACCAGCTGGCTACCTGAACATGGGCTTCTCTGCTCCGCCGCCCTCCAGTCCACTGAGCTCTCGCGGTGTAGAGGACATGTCCCACCAGAGACCAACATGCCACAACCCCAGCATGCGCAGAGAACAGGACCGCCTGGACTCCTTTCACTCCTGGACACTCTCCATTATCACCCCTGCCGAGCTCGCCAAAGCAGGCTTCTACTATTTGGGCCAGGGCGACCGAGTGGCCTGCTTCAGCTGCGGAGGACATGTATGTATCTTTGCAGGACAAGCTGCTCTTTGGGAGCAAATAGCTAACAAGTTTGATAAGCGTGTCTGGGCTGAAAATTCTGAAGGTTCTTACGGTTTGGTTTGTTCAGAGGATTTTGAGCACAAAGACTTGGGGCCTTCTTCTTGGTCACATGTAATTTACTGTTGCTATCAGTTTAATGGGACTGATTATCTTTTCAGTTCGTATCTTTTGTTATTTCTGCTCTGTTACTATTTTGTACCACTTCTATTATTTTACATTTCTTTGTTTTGTTTAAATTCTGCCTAAAGCACCATACTAACAAATTTTGATTGGAAGACACGAAGAAGGTTTATTAAAAAAAATCAAACTGCTGTGTTAACTGACAAAAGTGGGCAACAGACATCATCTTACTTGCAAGTGTGTCAGGGTGTGAATTGTTTGAACAGTGGACATGACAGGAGTTTGTGTTTGTACTTGCAGTTAAGTAACTGGGAGCCAGGTGACAGAGCTGTGTCTGAGCACCAGAGACATTATCCAAATTGTCGTTTTGTCCGGGGGGACAGAGCTGACAACGTGGCGCTGCCTGGAGCTGTATCTGGAGCGCTAACATCACAGCTGTCAGCGGGAGCTTCAGTCCTCAGTAATGTCTCCAACCCTGCCATGCAGCAGAGCGAAGAGAGGCTGCTCACCTTTGTCAATTGGCCATCTCGTATGCCTGTCCGACCTGACCAGCTGGCTAAAGCTGGCTTCTACTACGTAGGTATGAACAGTGTCAAAGGGACACAGCAATTCAGTGACAGTGACCTGAAGAGAGCGGCCAAAAATTGTATTGGAGATTAAAAAAAAAACAAAGTCATAATGTTTTGCTTCCTTTAATTAGATGGTAGAGGGCCACTAACTTTATAAAATAAAAAAAAAAGTGTGAATCTTAAAGCTGCCATTTGGTCCTGAAAGTCTTAACACAGAATTCACTCATAATGTGCAGACTGAAATGAATTTCTTTTCTCTCAGTTTTAATATGAGTAAGAGTTTCCCCCCTATTTTCAGGTATTTTTCATTGTCACTATTCACTTTCTTTACACATGAGCTGGAAAGTCCTGTCAGAAATCATTTTAAGGGAAACATCATTATCAACATGATCTCATGCTGATAATAAATACAGCACCCAAATGCAGTGACTTTACTGCTAAAGAATTCAGGCAAAAGAGGAAATGAAAGCTGAGACACAAATGTGGATTCAATTTTTAAACAATCATTTGTATTAGAATCAGTTTTCCTTTTTTAAAACCCCCTGTAACACTCGTCACACTGAAACTCTGTTTGCCCTCAAGGTCGTAATGATGACGTCAAGTGTTTCTGCTGTGATGGAGGCCTGCGGTGCTGGGAGTCTGGAGATGATCCATGGGTTGAACATGCTAAATGGTTTCCTCGGTAAATACTGCTGTTTTGTTTAATGTGGTGTGTGGCTGCCTAGACAAATAGTTTTTGTCTAAATACATGTGAAGAGGAATGTCTGTACTGTTGTGTCTTATCTTTGATGAATTGCAGGTGTGAATATTTGCTGCTGCAGAAGGGACAAGAGTTTGTTCAACAGATCCAGGCTCGTTTTCCTCGACTATTTGAACAGGTTAGCAGAGTAAAACATAAATAGCTGTTCTTGGTAGAAAAACATAAAATATGTCATATATTATAAAAGCTGAAAATTACTTTCTATTTTCTCTCCAAAAGCTTTTAACAAATGCAGACAGTAGCTCCAGAGAGTTTGTGGATCCACCTGGTGAGTCGAAACTATAAAACATTTTTTTAGAGAAGGAACAAAATCTGGCCAAACAGAACAAACACCAGACAGCCATTTAGGGAGAGGGTAGGCAGAATGTAACATGGTGCCTAACAGTTGAAGGTTGGCCAGACTCTTTAATTTTCATCTGTGTTTTAAAACTGTATTTTGTTCCTGTTTAAATGGAGTTTATTGAAATTGAATTGAACAACATAAAGTGTTGAAAGCATCACTGACAGGGACTATATGTTTTGTCAAAATCTTATCACCCTGTCTGATGTGCCTTCCCTTCGTCTCAGTGGTTCACATTGGGCCTGGAGAGGAGCGGTCTGAAGATGCCATCATGATGAACACCCCTGTGATTAAGTCTGCTTTGGAGATGGGTTTTGAACGGAGTCTAGTCAAGCAAACAGTCCAGAGCAAGATCCTGACCAGTGGAGAGAACTACAGAACAGTCCAGGAGCTGGTTTCAGACCTGCTGAGTGCTGAGGACCAGAAGAGGGAAGAGGAGCGAGAGATGTTGGCAGAGGCCATGGCATCAGGTGCAGCTGACAGGGAATATTTAGCTCTTCTTCTGCAAATGTGGCCCATGTTCTCAGACCAGTGAAGCATTTTAAAAACTATGAAGAGTACATTTTTTAATAGCTCTTTGTCTCTGTGTTTCAGATGGTTTCACCTTTGTCAAGAAACACCAGGCAGCGTTGATCCAGCGCCTGAAGAGTGTCGAGCCGGTGCTGGAGCATTTAAGAGAACAAAATGTGTTATGTAAGTTAACTGACTGTTTGCTTTAGTCTGAGATTTAGGGGACACTGTCTTAATTTCTTTGGCAGCCAACTGTTTCTGAGCACACCTGAAAATTAAAATGAAAACAAAAGATTCAAAGTGCACTTAACTGATTCAGGTAGATTTTAGTATGTGAGAGAACACTTCATGAAACTAGTTAAATAACCTTACAGTGTGTTTCAGGGATTAATACAACTGGATTTTATTACATTTAGAAGGAAAAGTGCAAGCCCTTCATTCCAGGGTAGTGTCAGAGATTTCCCAGTAGCCTATTGCTGCACAGTTAACCACATATACATACATTATTTACATAAATAAAAATAAAAAAATATATATATATAAAACTACATAGTTTTCAGTCCTTGTAATACATGTATAGCAGTATTTTTGTCACACGATTGGAGTTAAAATTTTAGCCCTTATCATGACGCTGTAGCTTCTGTAGTTCAGGGTTCCTCTCAACTGTAAGTAACAAATCCCTGTTAACCTGCAGCTGCTGAGGAGTACAGCGGACTTCAGGCTCAGACATCAGCACAGCAGCAAACTGCCAGGCTGATAGAGCTCGTCCTTACAAAAGGAAACGCTGCAGCCGAGGTGTTTCGCAACTGGATCCAGAAAAATGATGTCCACTTGCTCAGAGATCTCATGGGTAAGAGAGTATTTATTTTATTTAGAGAGTACTTAGTGTTTCCATTGTGTATTAACCAAAACCTGAGCTAATCACAGTCTCTCTGACATTTTCAGCCCAGTCAAACGAAGCTGCATCACCAAGCCAAGATCTTTCAGGTATGAGGACACACCTGATACTGTCCTGCCTAGGTTTTAACTGTGAAGCACTTTGTAGCTCCTACTTTTGAGTCATAAAATATTCACTTAATTAGTCCCATAATGTGAAGCTCCTAAATGTTACATGAGGTAATGCAGTAATCTGTGTGAATAGCAGATACATCTATTGATACACAAGTGCTTTAGTATGGATAATAACTGATTAACTGGTCGGGATGCTGTGGGTCATTTGATGTTGGACATCACCTGAAGTGTGAGAAACAGTAAATATTAAGTAGGACTTCACATGACTTGCTAAGTAAGACTTTGTGTAGCAGTGTACATTGTTGGATTTTAAGAGGTAAAAAGGAAAAAAAAAAATGTCATGTTTCTTTGCAGATCTCCCCATGGAGGAGCAGCTGCGGCGCCTGCAGGAGGAGCGTACCTGCAAGGTGTGTATGGATAAAGAGGTCAACATCGTCTTCATCCCATGTGGACACCTGGTGGTGTGTAAAGAATGTGCACCGTCACTGCGAAAGTGTCCAATCTGCAGAGGCCTGGTTAAAGGCACGGTTCGAACTTTCCTCTCATAACCGTGATGGTTCATTCTCTCATAGTCTGTCTCTCGTTGATGTGATTGAATTTAAGCATTATAAACTTTTTTCCCAGCAAATACATGACTTGCTTGTCTATGTAGATACATCGTAAGAGACAAGTTAAGATGCTACCACATTCCTACATAAACAGTTAAAGCTCACAGACATCACCTTATCTAACAATGGGGGTTTTCCATCATAGGAATCTATCAAAACATGTTGTGTAACACTCATCTCGGGTTCTGTCTTTTGTTTCCACTGTCCTCAACCTGCTTTGAAGGTGCATTCTGGGAGCAACATTTCAGCACACCTCAGGAGGTAGTACTAAAATCAAATTCCAGAGGAGACGTAGTGGGTGTGCGCAGAGCTGTCATCTGTGGTTGGTTAAATATCTTCACACCACAATTATTAGCATTGCAAGCACAGAGTCTAAACACACACACTGGTTTAGAGTGTTCTGCTTGTTCAACAACTGTTTGATTAACTGCTATCTGCATTTACCTCTAAACCAGTTCTTGGGTTTATCCACAGAGTCTGTAATACTAACAGCTCATTGAGGTGCAAAGACCCTGACATTTAACCAATCACCGCTGACACCTCTTCGAGCACCCGCTGCCTCCCCCCTCCTGTTTCTAGAACTTGCTTTTAGTACTACCTTCTGAGAGGTGCACATTTTTAGCTCCTGGAACGTACCTCCAAAGCAGGCAAATGGCAGTGGAAACAAACAGGACCTGGGCCAGGCGTTACATAGCTTGACATGTTTCAGTAGGTTTGTATAATGGAAAAACGGTCTCAGTTGTAATGTTCAGTATTAGGGTTTCAGTTTAATACTTGAGTTCGTCTCTGCTATTACAACACATCTAACATTCATTATTAGGCCTGGGTAACATGTTTGAAATCACTATTATAATATTAATGGGTATTTTCTCGTTACTGGTAAAAATCACAATACGGGAAATGTATGAAAAAATCTCAACCATTGTTCAATGCAATCAGTTCCACTGTTACCCTTACAGTTTAACCTAACGCTAAATTCATTTTAAAAGCTTAGACTGAACTAACTTTTTACTGTATAACCTGCATCTCCAGTGTAAACACAGCAACTGTATTAATAAGACTTTACATGTTTTAGTCCTTTTCTCAGTCTGGTCAGTAACATCCAGCGACGCTTATCATGCAAACTGGCGACACTGTCAGCTGTCAGGTACAGTGGCTCTGCAAGCTCAATGCACAGCAGTTAGAGTAAAAGTACTACAAATATCAGAAACAATGCAAATCTTTCCAGTGAATTACATGACTTTGTTATTGCTGATATTTTGTTTTACATTACTACAGTGGAAGCTGAAAAAAAACTTAGAAGGCATCTGGATGTAGTTTTAGGTAGAAGACATTCCACCTCTCATCCAAGAGGCTTCAGCAGTTCTACTATAAACTACGTCCAGATGCCTTCTAAGTTTTTTCAGCATACTACAACCTGGATGACTGAGAATTTGCACAGACATGCTACAGTGGAAGGTTTTGATGGATATGAGCATTTTAATTGATACAATAACCACACAATATGTATTTGCAGTTTGGTTCGGTTCTTTGTTGTATATTTAATCCTGTAATAAATCCTATAATGAAAGTGATCAGGTTCAATTTTTATTCAAACTTGTGGATTCAAGTGATTCATTTGAGGTTGTAGTTTGTGTTGCTGTTGACTTCTACTGCATTATACAGAGGTGTCATTTACCCAAGCTTTGCTGCTATACGAGGTTCCCATGTTAGCAGATGTACAAAACATGCAATCCACTGCTGAGAATGTTTCCAGGTTGGATTCTTGGCCTTTATATGACGTTCAGCTTTTTTCAGTGTAGTTGTTTAAAAACTGCTACGAAGAAATTTGCATCTTCCATTGTGAGGCGCATGGGGGATTTGATGCGGAAAGTGCAGTCTTGTTCTCATATTGTCTGCCATAACTTGGCCTATAATGAAGATACAACCCTGAAATGTTCAGGTAAGATGCACAGTATAACTGCTTATCATACCCTAAAAGATAAATACTCATAGGTAGAATATTTATATTATACTTATGAATATTTTCGACGTGGCGCCCGTTGCCACGCATGCGCATGCGCGCAAGCAGCCGTTCATGAAACTAACGTCTCGAGCCGGGTCGCCAGTGACGTCACGATGATCAAAAGAATTCAGACGTTTAACAACACAAGGGTTCAAGGAGGAGGCGCTGCTTCACTATTCACATCGTAACACTGCGAGAAATGGCGGAGAGTAAAGAAACTAAGACAAATTTCAAAGAAATGTCACAAGAAGTGGTGGATATTGTAGTGTGGCGGATCAAAACTCTGTTTGACTGCCTGACGAGACATGAGGTGGTAACGTTGGGAGGACTGGGTAACAGATGCATGCCCAGTGAGGTTACCCCTAAAGTTTTGATAGCAGAATTGGTTTTGGAGGTTGTAAGGATGTTTTCACATAAACGGATAATGGCAGGAATGAAGAAAGAGGACATCACCTATGAACAGCTTCAGTCCATTCTATGTGAAACGCTCACTAAGAGTTTTTCTCCTTTTATGAAAAACAAGGAGCTAAGCGGATTACAGCATGTCAGCATAAGACACCTTGTAAACCTGTTTCTTAAAGAAACCGAAACAGTCCTAAGGATTTCACATCCAGACATGATGGAGAGCTCTCTGTCACCTATCATTTGTCCTATGGTTCATCATATAACACTAAATGAGCTGATTGGCCATGTCCATACTGTGTTAAAGGAGGCATCTGACATGAAAAAGACACTGTACACACCAGACACGCCCAGGAAAAGCACATTCAACTACCTTAAAGAGGCTTTCCTTCTGAAGAGAACTGAAGCTATTGGTCAAGTACTATGCATCGGGGTAGAATGCATGACACAAACTCTTTTGAGCGATGTGCCAGACCATGAGTATAACCTGCTACAACTGGACTGTTCTCAGAAGATTAAACCTGTTGCTGGTTATATATCTCAGTTAACTGCTGAACACGCTGTTGCTACAGGACAAAGCCCAGAGTTAAAGTGGCCCGAAAAGACTGTGAACTACATTGAGATGGAGACAAAACACTTCTTTGCAAAGCTGTTTTCCAGAACATTAATATATCGCCTCCTGGCTCAGCTGATGAAATGCCATCATGACTCTATAGCTGAAAGCAGGGAGTCAATCCAGTTACTCATGCATGATATTGAACCTACGATTTTCAAGAGGTTGGGTGGAGGAGTTGGTGTATTGTATTGCCTTTCAACCGATGCAGAACTTGTAATGCAACTTAGCGATGTCCTCTATAAACACATTACGGGTAAAGAAAAGCCAGAGGACTGGAAAGCGAGTTTGCCTGAGTCACTTGCTGTTCTGTATGCTGACATACAAGACAAAGTACAATCTTTCCTGACACTGATGGTCTGGTGGATGATGAGTCAGGCCAGAAACCACAGTAAAGAGCTTACACGTAGAATGATGTTTGCTGTGGAGAGAGTATCCTTAGCCACAGGTGAGCCATCACAGTGCCAGGATGCTGCACCTTTAGTCACAGGTGAGCCGTCACAGTGCCAGGACGCTGCACCTTTAGTCACAGGTGAGCCGTCGCAGTGCCAGGACGCTGCACCTTTAGTCACAGGTGAGCCGTCGCAGTGCCAGGACGCTGCACCTTTAGTCACAGGTGAGCCATCAGAACGGGAGAACACGTGTGCTGAATCTGTGGGGGACATCACACTGCAGGTGGACAAAAGCAAATTAGCTGTCAAACTTATTGTGAATGATCTCCTTGAACGGACAGCCAAAAAGGCACAAATGAAAGACGATCAAGTCTCAGAAGATCTCAGTGTTTACCTGCTGGAAAAAGCATGGGAGGAAGTCAAAGGCATCAATATTCCTGTCAAGTCAGAAACTTTAAAAATCCTCCCAAAAACTGTTTACAAGGACCTATGTAAGAGGTGGGGCCGTCCAAAACATCTACTGCTTGCCATGTATTCAAAGAACCCAGAAGTTGAGAAAAGCATAGCCTCTTCCATCAGAAAGTATGTGACAGCACCAAAGCCTCGCACCATCTCCACGTTCTTCTCCTCTGTGGGTAGAGCCATCTCCAGATGCTTTACCATCAGAAACAAGATAACACCGGTGTCATAGTATGCCAATCCCAGATGGCACTGGGAAGATATATCTGCATGTTCTCCCTGTGTCTACGTGGGTTCTCTCCGGGTACTCCGGCTTCATCCCACTGTCCAAAGACATGCAGCTTAGGTTGACTGGCGACTCTAAATTGGCCCTAGGAGTGAGTGTGTGTGGTTGTTTGTCTACATGTCAGCCCTGTGATAGACTCGCGACCTGCACCACCTCCTCCAACCAAAAAAAAAAGCGAGGCATAGCTTCTTATTTGACAGAAGAATAAACTAACAATTAATTAGAATTATAAAAATAAATAGAAAAGAATAAACACAACTTACAATATATATTCTACCTATGCATATTTCCTTAATTTGTAGTTGTCATTGCAATTTTCTCCAAAATACAGGATGTTTTAAAGGTTTTCTTATTTTAATAAACAAAGTTTATTAGGAAGTAATTGTTGTCATCATCCTTCTTGTACTCAAAGGTCACTAGAAGAATGTTTTTAAAGGAGAAAGAAAACTGACTGAGAATTTTACTGTGAATAAACGCAGGCATGTCTGACCAAAATATTTCACTGTAGTTGCTGGAGCACAACAAGTGCAACGACTTCAAGAGCAGAATTACAGAAAGAGCAGTTGGTGTCTATGTTTTTTAAATCTTGAAGAAAGAACAGTTTTGACAGGATAATATTTATACGATAATTTAAGTGAAATTTCTCTCACCTTATTAATTAAAATACATTTATTAGGTAAGGTTCAAACTTTTTCAAAGGCGCGTTACTGAAACCATCAGAATCAGTTTTCAGAATTAGCTTTATTGGCCAGGTGTGATGGACACACGAGGAATTTGACTCAGGTACATTGGCTCTCAATGTACAAACAGTAGACCAGCATAAGGCTGTGTAATATAACAAAATAAGCAGTATTAACAGCAATATTGACAGCAACAAACAGTGCAAGCAATGCAATGAAAGCAGTATAAACAGTCAGTAAACAATGCAGACAACAAGGAATGTTCATTGAAATGAGATAAATAGGAATAAAAACAGAGTACTTAAAACTAGAGACCTGTATGAGTCTGTATAATCTGTACAATGTATATATACACACAGGTATTGCACTGAGGGTCATTGTCCAGTCATACTGTCGATGGTTAAGTGTTCATCAGAGTGACAGCCTGGGGGAAGAAACTGTCCCTGTGCCTGGTTGTCTTAGTGCACAGTGACCTGTAACGCTGTCCAGAGGGGAGGAGTTCAAACAGATTGTGTCCAGGGTGTGAGGGGTCTGCAGTGATCCTCTCCTCCCTCCTTTTGACCCGTGAGGTGTACAGGTCCTCCATGGAGGGCAGGCTCACACCAATGACCTTTTCTGCAGTCCTGACTGTCCGCTGAAGTCTGTACTTGTCCTGTTTGGTTGCTGAGCCAAGCCAGACAGTGATGGAGGTGCAGAGAACAGACTCGAAGATTCCTCTGTAGAACTGTATCATCTCGGTGTAACGTTATTTCTGTCTGCGATTTCCATCAGTGGTCCTCATTCTTTCTGGTTTCATACTTGTTGCAAATCACCAACAAACCGCAGACGAAGAGGAGGAAGAAGCTCACAGGCGTTGTTGGTGTTTTAGAAGTGAATACAACCCCTGCAGTAAACACACACGAAGATGACCCTGCGTTAAAATGTTAATGCACGGTTGCCTTTTATTTACATATACTTTATTTATTTATATTACTTTATTTATTATTTATATTTTAAAAAGTAGGCATGTGCATGGCTGATATCAGCTGGTAAATGCTTTGTGTGGCCACCTAACAGTTACTATTGTATCCAAATGTGTCTTAGTAAACAAAAAATCACCTAAAAACAACAAACCTGGAAAAGGCTCTGTAATAAACACTCTTGTCAGGAGGAACTTTTTGATACCTGAACACTATTCTGTTTGTGATACTATGGTACTTAATGTTAGTAGAATTCAGAAATCAGGACATTGTGGTACAGCTATTTTTACTTAATTACAGTGGTGGGAAAAACTACCTAATATCTTTTTACATGTAAAAAGTAATAATTCCACCACAGTAATCTTTTACAAGATAAACTTGTGCATTAAAAACCTTAGTACAAGTACATCTGTTATGGTTAGTCCCCCTCACCAGGAGGGTGAGGGAGAACTGAGGTTGGACTCAAGACTGCTGACCCAGGTGCTAGTAAAAATGGTGTTTTAATGGTGGGGATACAAAAGGAACAGAG